TCTTATGGCAGCCATATTGAATTTTTCGTTTTCAGATTGCGCTTAAATGAGCTTTCAAATGCTGTATCACATGCCGAGAAAAAATTATTTTCTAAGGGACTAATTTAAGAAAAGTTATCCATTGCTTAACACAGCAAAATAGTACGCCATGGAAAATTAAAAAGTTATTTTGATTTCATAGATATACCTAATACCAACCATTATAAAAAATAACAGTAATAATTAAGATTTCCAGTTTGAATAATTTTAATTTATTCTTAAAATACAGAACACAACACAGGCACACAAAAATCAAAAAAAAAAATCCGTACTTTAAATAAAAACCATATTTCTTTATGTATTTTGATGTGCTGAAACCGAATCTGGCCATAAAAATTACGGCTATTGCCTAAATTTTTAGCTACGGGACATTTTTAGCTATAAATAACGTAATAATCACCATATTTAAACATAAAAATTACAATTTTGTTAGACAATTTTTTTACCTAAATCATCGCAATCTACGTTTTCATAGGTACTAAACATGATTTTGATATCAAAATAGCCTTTTTGGCAGCTGTCAAACCGCAAATTGTAAAATTCCAAAATTTGTAAGAAAAGCTTCTTCTATGTATAAAACTATCACTACCAACGTTTTCGAGGATGATAAATATGATTTTGGCATCAAAATGGCCTTTTTTGGCAGCTACCAACTGTCAAACCGCAAATTGTAAAATTCTAAAGTTTGTAAGAAAAACTTCTTCTAGATGTAAATCTATATCAGTACCAACGTTTTCGAGAGTGCTAAATATGATTTTGACATCATAATTACCTTTTTGGCAGCTGCCAACTGTCAAACTGCCAACTCTCACATTCAAAATTCTAGATAAATAGTTTGAGTGGAATGCAAAAAAACTTTCAAGAATTTCTCTCTCGAAATCAGTAAATATGATTTGTTTATCGTAATTATATCTGTAGATTTCAATAGTACTTTGTCAATAACCGTCAAAGTCATATTGAGCACCCTCAAAAACGTAGGTAGTGATAAAAGGTTACAAATAATTTTATTTTGAAACTGTGGAATTTAGCAATTGGCTGCAATTGGTAGTTTGACAGTTGCCAAAGAGGCAATTTTGATGTCAAAATCATATTTATCACCCTCAAAAACATAGGTAGTGTTATACTTTTACACATGGAAGAAGTTTTTCTTAAAAATTTCGGAAATTTACAATTTGCAGTTTGACAGTTGGCAGCTGCTAAAAAAGGCTATTTTGATGTCAAAATCATGTTTAGTTCCCATGGAAATGTAGATTACGATGATTTATGCAAAAAAAAATTGTCTAACAAAATTGTATTTTATTTTGTTTAAAAAAACGGTGATTTTTACGCTATCTGTAGCTAAAAATGTCCCATAGCAAAAAATTGTGCAATAGCCGTAATTTTTATGACCAGATTCGGTTTCAGCACATCAAAATACATAAGGCAACATGTATGATTTAAAGTACAGATTTTTTTTTATTTTTGTGAGCCTATATGTAATCGATATGGAGAACGTTCTTTAACAACAGCAAATTAACATAATAGAAGAAATGATAGTAAAAAAATAAGAAGATTTAATAGAACTGTTCAGTATGACCTCCATTTAGCTGAATACATTTTTGGCAACTACGCCTAACTGAGCTGATTACTCTTCTGAGAGTATTGGCACTTATTATGCCGAAAACGCCCTAAACTCTGTCTTCCAAGATATCGATAGTTTCCGGGATTTCAAAATCGTACACTTCATTTTTCACCGTATCCCACAAACAAAAACCAGGAGGGGGTATTCAGGCAAGCAGGCAGGCCACAATACTGGTCCTCTATTTGAAATTATGTGGTTACCAACATTTTCCTGCAATATCCGTCTAACATTATTATTAGTATTATGTGCAGGAGAACCATCTTGTTGGAACCACAATTCGTTTATTTTTTGTTCTGTAACAAATTGTCTTATCTCGGGTAAAAGTTGATTTTCTAGAAATTCATGATAGGCAACTCCCGTTAAATTGTTGTGAAAAATGAATGGACCAATTAAATGGCGATCTAAAAATAATAATTAAGGAAAGGGTTATAGGCAGATCATAGGAGTAGAATAGGAAGAGAAAAGGTAATACCTATCATGCCGCACCATACATTGAATATAAACCTAGTTTGGAATCTTCTTTGCGTAGTTACATGCAGATTTTCTGTGGCCCAGTGGTGATAATTGTGCTTGTTAAAGACTCCAGAATTCGTAAAACGCCTTTCATGGGTCCATATAACTCTCAATTGAAAATCAGGTTGTTCTTCGTATTTCTGATTGAACCAATGACAAAATCAAATTTTCTACCAAATCATTATTGTTTGAAGCTTGGACAATGGTAGGTTTGTGCGGATATTTCCTTTGTTTTAACGTCTTGTGTACAGTTGTCTTAGAAATATTGGTTTCGTCTGCATTTTGTCGCACTGATATGCGGGGATTATTGTTAACAGCTTCGAGAATATTATTTGTGTGGTCAACATTATCATATTATCATACCGGTCTCTTTTATTATCAAGACTCCCGTCATTTAACAAATTTCTCACAATTCTGTTTTATGTGGTTGCATTCTCTCGAAATGTTTCTAAATAGGAAGCCGATGCATCTTGCGAATTTCTATTTCCTTTTAAATAACATTCTAACACATTCAATTTTTCTTCATTTGAGAATTTGTGCGGCATTTTGCAGTATTCACACTTTTGAACACTAATAATAGGTATTCTTGAGAAGTTTACAATAATGCCACTACTATTTAGTGAATAACAGTCAACTAACAGTAATGCTTATTGTTACGCCACTGGACTGTGTAGACTGGTTAGATGAGACTGGAATTGTACACGAACGGCCGGGAATATTCTGGGATGCCCTAGACCCTGTGAACGGATGTAGACACAGAGTGGGCCGAGCCTCAATCTTAAGTTGAACGTGAACAAGTAAAGAAGAAATAAGAAAGAGACTTATTAGTGTTCAAGTGTGATTATAGTTAAGACAGTAATTAATCTATTGTTGTTAATTGTTAATTAGTAAATAAAGTAGTGAGTATTTTTAAGTGTTACCTGGACTTTCAATCAACGAATCTACAAGTATCAGAGACAACCAATGTCTCTGCAAGTATAGGTGTTTGTGTGGATAGCAAACACGTAACATTATTATTTGTTTTAAACAATAGCCTACTAAATTTTAATTATGTCTGAATTTGGTCGTTTTTAGACACGCATTTTTCAACTTTTAGTAATTACTAGCTACTTTCCATGCAAGAACACCCTTGATGAAGAGGATTTTTTGTTCAAATTTTGAACACTTTATTGACATTTTTATGACAAATAAAACTTTAATGGTTGTCTAAAAATTGATATTTTTAGAAAATTGTACAAATAAAGTAATTTACAGTAGATATAAAGTACACTAGATAATAATTAGTCACCGTCTGAATAAGCAACTTCCTTGTCTCTGACTACAAAAAAAATTTCATTTTCCATGGCCTGTTATTTTGTTTTGTTAAGGAATGGATAACTTTTCTTAAATTAGTCCTTTGCAAAACAATATTTCCTCGGCATGTAATACATCATCTTTTTAAGCGAACTCTGAAAAACGAAAAATCCAATATGGCTGCCGTAAGAAAAACAAAATTTATCTCGGATATCTCGAAAACAAAAGACTATCGAGCATTCCGTTCTAGTCCAAAATATTAGTCTCCAAAAAGTGTCCTAATAATGTAAAAGTCTAAAACCTGTCTGACCAAGGATTACTTGGCTACAGCCAAAAAGAGAAATCACAAAACTTTCGTTTTTTTGGAAAATCTCAAAAACGGTTTCAGTTATTCTTAACGGATTTGGAATCAGCATAAAATTTGCTAGAACTTATCCCATTTAACCGACCCTGTAGCTCTCACCGTTTCCGATATCCCAATGGTGAGCATCGAATTTGGGACACACGGTATATCAATAAAAAAAAAGAAAAGTTAACAATAAATGTAAATATTTTACATTTATTGGTAACTTATTTCATTGATATATGTATGTGAGGTTACGGAATTTATGGAAATTTTTTCTCAAAATGTTAGCTTTTTTTTCTTTTAAAATTTTTTTTAAGTATATTTTTATCTATTAGATTTGGTAAATTATATAGAATATGTTTGTTATTTGTTGTAGTCCTGAAGAAGACAAAATATTGTTGAAACGTTGACTTAATGAGAAATTTAGGTCTTCTTACAGTTTTACCCAATTTAGTTGGATTTATCCCATTGTGCACAGTTGCTTCTCATTATGATTACGTAATATTGTAGTTTTATGTACAAAATCATGTTTTAGGATGTCTCATTTTTGTATCAACAAATATACTAAACATTAGCTCAGCATGGTACTAATTTAATAATTTATTCATAAACTTCACTTTAAGTGTGCTCTACAAAGATGGCTAAAAATTACAAATTTATTGAATAGGAAAAAAAATTTTGCACAATTAATGCTACTTTCCCTCACGTTTTCAACCCACCCCGTCTCAGAGTCTGAGACGGGGTGGGTTGAACTCAGACTACCAAATTTGTTATAAATTATCAAAAACTTCTAAAATAAGAATAAGTAATGTAATTTCCTTGTGTAATTTTGAAGAAGAATATCTTTAAAACAATGGGAGGTATGGCGAGAAGCGGTCTTGAAGATTTTCTTGCAAATTTCATTATAAATAAGCTAGCTTAATCAAACTACGATACAAGACATTGTATACAGGTGCATAATGAAACCCTTGCAATTTTTCAAAATTTCACTGGTTCCGAAAATTTTGAAAAACAATTGTAGGATTTTATCTGTCATGTTAGGATCTGTGGGCAAATAGGAAGAAGTGGTTTTGGGTGTTTTTTGATATCTCTGCTATTTCACAATTTTTTTCTGCAAATACGTCACACTTTTACACATTGACCTGCTGTTGAGTTGTTAAATAAAATTGGTTATACGTATTATTGTGTGGCTTCGTGGTCAAATGGTGAGGATACGTGACTCTCACCCTAGAGTCCCAGGTTCGATCTCCGGGCGAGGAGCTAGGATTTTTCTAAACCAGAAATTAATAAAAGGTCCATATATAATTTTTGCAACTTAAGACGTTTCGAATTTATCGACAAATAACTATGTTGTACTTACCCTTTTAAGGGGTTGTAGCTCCCTTACAAACTGATTTAAGGCAAATATTTATATACAAAACAACTTATCATTTGTAGTTCTATCAGCCCTTTGCAGTAAGGTACTTAATTATGGGACACCCTGTATAAACAAAAAACTTTACTCGCCAAGGTTAAATCACAAACCGTAAAGATGTAAGCGACAGTCAAACAACAATAGGTACTATTTATTATGATTCTACGATAATTAATTATATACTAAGTTATTTTCTTTACCGGAACAAATCATTTAAGGTATAAACAGAATTCCATACAAAAAAATACCCACAGATTCCTAGAAAACTACTGAGTTTCATTCGCAAATCATCGGATATAACTTAAATAAATTCAGTTCATTGTAAATATATCATTTGTCAGAAGAGCTTTAAGATGAAAATGTTGATAAACAGTGTATTTACCTTCTTAATAATGGTTGTGCTTCGAACGAGTAGTGAAAAAAATAAAATGTAATATGGTATCTTTTGAGATTGAAGACGGTTTATCGGGTTATTGTTGTGTTTTTGTGAAAAATAATAGTGAAATCCAGCAGCAAGGAGAAAAAATAAAGCAGCAAATTTTAGATAATTTTAAAAATGAGACTGTGGCGAACAAGGTTCCCAATAGCACAGAAGTTAGTGAGATAACTTTTCCAGAGGACAAGAATTCCAGTGAAAAAGCACATTCCAATTCGAAATCACGTCATGAGAAAATAAAGTTTCCTGGTGGTTCTAATTTTGAACAAAATAAAAATATTACTTCTAAACGTAATAAAAATAATATGCCTGTGAAAAATAAAAACGTTACTCTAATTCAAAATAATTTAAATCATAGTGAAATAAGTTTTCCTCAGAATGGTACATCAGAAAATGAAAACATTTCAGATGATAATAATACGACACCTGTAATTACGATAAACAGAAATGCCGTGGATACTCCAGAAACATGTCCTGATGGAAATGAAAAGGATCATAATGGAGATTGTGTTCCAGTTTTTTAATTTTGTTAGTTATTTAACCGTCACTTTTTTTATTAGTAGTATTGGAATGGTACAAACGAGAAAATATTATTTTCATTGTAGTTTATACATTATGCAGAAAACCTTCGGATAACTTGAATAATATAAAAACTGTTTACTGAATTTCGGTTTAATTCAGAGTTTAAAATATAGTTTCAAGTGTACGCTAGTACAGAAATCACTAATTAATAATTACCGAAAAATGTACAGACACAGCATTTTTGGGTCCGTAAATTGTATGATGGTGTATTCAAATGATATATGATTTTTTTGTTATTTTTTAATACTGAAGTTAAAATAAAATGCATTTAATTAGTCCTGAGGTTGCTAATAAATATACCAAAACGTCGACTAAATTTAAAAATTAATTTCTCTGTTTTAGTTGACCTATTCTCTAAGTTGGAAAATTAATATATAGCAGGTCACTAAACATACAAGAAAGAAAAAGATTTATTTTCTATAATTATTATTCATCGAATTTTCATAAAGTATTTTGCTTGGGGTGCTAGGGCGTCAATCAAAAGCAGGGGAGGGGGATGCTTGCACCCCCTAGCCCCCTGGGCATGAATAAACATAAAGTATTGTTACCTAAATATATCTATAAATCTTTAGATTTTTCTGGCACCTAGAACATACAAAAGTTTGTTGATGGCATTTTTATTATTTTATAGTTTTATGGTTTTAAATCGTGTGATTATAACATAAATCAATTTTTGGAGGATCTTCTTTTAATAGAATGTAGACTACATTGTTTGTAATAATTGTTAAGGATTTTGCAATACATGTTAATATTTTTAGTAAATAAAATTATTCATTTAGAAACTAACACCTCTAAATATTCATGTCCAGGAATCAGCTGACTTTATTATGACATCAGGTAATTGTGAGATTTTTTATTTTAAGAACACTAAATTAAAAAATGTATATACATATATAAGGCGAGTTCACATTAAACGGAAAAACTTCGAGAATCGATTCTTTATTGAAAAATAAATGTAGTTTGTTCTATAAACATTTTTCTTATGGGACTTGGTTTTCAAGGTACAAGACGTTGAATTTTTTTTCTTTTTTAAATTTTAGATGGTTAACTTTAAAGTGGTTACACCGATTTTTATAATAATAGATTAAAAAGTTTATCAAATAGTCAAAAAGATTTTAATATCTCGTTCCCATAGTCGTAGATATTAGGACCACGCACCCCCTTTTTAAAAAATAACGTACGTCTATGGTCGTTTCAAAAATGGATGTGATTTTTGCGATATTTTTTTAACAAAAAATTTCTTGTAGATTTTTTCAATTTTTGATTTTCAGGTTAATTGAGGTCAAATGTTTTATTGTAATACTACCCAGTGTTTCTACCTCAGAATATCAGTGTTCCTCTATTCCATTATATACCTTAAATGTGATAATCCGTGCTTCAATACATAATACGATACATTTTATAAGCTTTATCTAACATAAACAAAACCCAAGTTTTAAAAAACCAGTTTAAAGTTATTCGTCGAAAACTTAAAAATAAAAAGAACTTCAACGCAATTTTGAAGACCTCGTCCCATAATAAAAATATTTACAGGGCAAACTATACACTTATTTTTCAATAAAGAATCGATTCTCGAAGTTTCCCCATTTGAAGTGAACTCACCCTCTATAGAATATTTTTACGGGTACTTACTATATACATTTTATTAAACATTTTAAAAATACCATTATTTTCAAATTACACCGCAACGAAATTTTATGTATTATGTATTACTTTTATTTCTAACTGGGTATGTTTAAATAAGTATTTAATAAATTATAATTTATCAGTATTTATGATGTATGCATTGTAATAATATATAACCACGAAATTAAAGAAAGATAATACAGGGCAAAATACGTCGAAAGAATCTCGAATTGTAATTTTTACGATACCATATATTTTTAATAAAAAATTTAAATCTATACATAATTGTTTCAAATACTTTTTTCTTAATAATTATATCAAATATTTTTCAAAAATGTACGTAATTTGTTTATTCAATTTAACGTCAAATTTATTGAATCAAAGGCTGAACATGTTAAACTTAAAAATGAAAAAAAATATTTGCAATTGTACTTTTACAATAAAAATAATTATACTTTAATGTGTGGAACTAAATATAGTTCTAAATTTATTTTTATATTTTTTCTATTTTTAATGTTAAAATATCATTTAAATAAAAATTATTAAAAATCTCCCTAGTTTTTTTTAATATTTCTACATTTTAAAAATATAGATCATTTCTGGGATTTAATAATATAATCATCAAGATAGTGGTTGCAAATTAATTATTTATCAACGTGTAAAATGTACCATCATATAAATTTATAATTTGAAAAACTGAACAAACTTATTAACATTTTGAATTAAAAAAAATACTTTGACATATTAATAAATGTGGAACCAGTTGGTCAATTATTTTTAATTCAGCATTCTACCTAATATCAGAAACAGTTAAATAAACTTGTGGACAGACATCCTATGATTAGTATAAAGAGCAACAACCATTTAAATATGTGTTTCTATTTTAACCAATTCCAATTCCAATTTAATACATTTATTTAACATTAATTACATTTTAAAAACTTAATTAAGGCACGCCCACCTCGTGCAATACAATAAATAATGGTGAGAGGTATGAAACTTCTCATATGGTCTGAATGCTACTATCCGACCGACATCCTAGATCTCTGTGGCGGATAGCGACTTGCGTCACAGCAAGTACCGAGAGCGGCGACCCCTAGCCCAGGTGGACTAAACTAATGTGATTAAATATGATTTGAAGGAAACAACTACTCAGCAGGCAAATACCCCGACCTGCATTGAATTACATCTTCAAATCATGATAGATCGATAGTCAATATCATTTGTCAATTCCTAACCAGACATAGATCGATTTCGAACTTATTTGTTCTCTTCAGTATGCCATAGGTTATGGAACAGACAAATGATAGTGGCCGACCTGCTAGTTATATACTAACTAAGGTGAAGTGAATAGTGGTGAGAGGTATGAAACTTCTCATATGGTCTGAATGCTACTATCCGACCGACATCCTAGATGTCTCTGTGGCGGATAGCGACTTGCGTCACAGCAAGTACCGAGAGCGGCGACCCCTAGCCCAGGTGGACTAAACTAATGTGATTAAATATGATTTGAAGGAAACAACTACTCAGCGGGCGTATTTGCCCGCTGGGACCTAGGCAGCTGGCCGATGTTCTGGCCCAAGACGGCTGAAATGCGCCTCTTTTGTTGTTGCTAGTAAGTTGACGTTTTCCTGTAACAACGTATACTATAAATGATTTGTACAAGACATAACGGAAATTAAAAATGAGGGCAATACTATAAATGTCGTTGTAGTCTGGTCATGCAGGAAAAAGCTAAAGAAAAAACCTGCTTAAGAGAATTGAAATTTAGATTGTCTGGAAAAGATGGGGTGAAGAGGCGGAAGGGGCGGTCATCGGAGGAAGTTACGGTTGGGGGTGGGTAATAATAAATATGAAAAAGGGTAGAATGTCTGTCATTGTGTGTCTAAAAATAAGGTTATTCAAAAAAAATGGGTAAGTTTTCGTGAAGTAATCTGTGTGTATGTCTGTACTGGTGGTAATGTCGAATGTCTGTGATGTGTGCAGTGAGCGTAGATTTCTGTATATTCTGTCTAAAAAATTTCATAGCCGTCTGTGTTATGTACTCTCTAATGTATTATATGTTGGCGGTCTCGTGCAGTTGTTGGATATTTACGTATCTGTTAGAGTTAGTGAAGAGGCGAAGCAGTTTGTTTTGCGTCGTCTGAAGACGGCCGAACTGGGTGTCCGACATCCTGTTCCAGACGACGCAACCATAAGTTAATA